CCTTGGAATGAAGCAAGGACTGTAACCAAATGTCTTAGTTGCGCATCTTGTCCCGACATTCAGTCCCATTTTTGACACCAAACATTATTACGTGCTTTCGCGTTCGTATTCGATTGAAAGTACATATAACCGATGAAAACTTGATGAAATTACTTTCCGAAACCTCTTCACAGCCCTTGAACATTCTACACAAAAGTACTTGTACAGCTGTCCTCAGTGTGACAGAGCATGATCAGCAGTTACCCCCTTCAAACTACTAAGAACATTCAGCATAAATGCACAGCGTATCAAAAAGGTGGCACGGTGATCTCTCAATATTCTGAATTCTCAATATTTTGAGCTAAACTGAAATTTGATGCTCTCTCCGATCCTATATATAATTTTTTTCGCATACCATAGAAATTTCCAGGAGCTTCGATTTCTCGAAACTGTTGGAAGGTATGCACAGTTACAGTGATATAGGGCCAGATATAGTTACAGTTATATACAGCTAGACAGGTAGAGAAAGACCGAGCACAATTTCGAAAAATGGTAGCCAAGACTGACTACTTTTGGAGACTTCTACCTAAATTTAGGAACAAAACTGTTGCCAAAGCCATAGCCAGCTTGGCGGTATATTCCCAGTCCTCCCTGTATTTTCGGTGATGCTTCACATTTTCATACTACATTATAGAAGGAATACTACAATTTATGTATAATTTCACTAAAACTTTTTCCATGTATTCATAACAAAAATTCATAACATTTTGTATAAATAAAAGAAAAACTGGAAATTATTTCAAAATCTGCAGTTAAAATAATTTGTCTGAGTTTTATCAAAATCGATTTTCTCAAATGCTAATTAATTTTCGGGAATAAAACTTTGACGTAGAGGTTTTGAGACCTGGTGAATAAGCACAAATAACCAAGTAGTTTAATGTTAAAGAGCTAAGGTGTTAATTTAACTTACTGCTCTCATAAATGAATTATCAAGAGAAAAGCTTTCGTATCAACAAAATAATTAGGTATTCGCTACGGCAGATTTTGCTTTCTAAACAATGAAACCTTATTAACTGAGTCGATTTCTCATCTGCCTCGGGAGTTGAGATGAAGCAACTATTTTTATTTTCTGCAATTCAGGATATGATAAAACTGGAGCAAGGTCAAGTCATTTACTCTTTAAACGAGGTGTTTACAAGAAAATGGAAGTAGAATTAAGATAAAAATAGAAATAAAATCTTCAAAATAATGGTAAGTAGATTTAAACAGTAATTGTTTAAATATTTTAATGGCAGTTTGTTCATAATAATAAAAGTGCCATTAAAATTAAAATTTAGCAATAACGGAATTTTTCTGTTTATCGTAGATCTTATTATTTCTGTTTTTCTGGATGTTTTTTCAGCAGATTAATTTAGTTTATTATAGTAGTTAAGTTAGTTTATTATAGTAGTTAACACCTCCAGAGAAATTCCCTAAGTTATTTTAATATCTTTATAGAAATTTCGAAACGCTCTTCTCTTCTTCTTTTTAATCGGCCAATCATAACAGTTCCAAATATGAAGTCTGTTTTTCAACAGCAGAAAAAAAGATGTTATTGTCGTTTACAAACCTGAAATCACTGTTATTGTTTTCATTACAGCAAATATTCTACCCCCAAACATCATGCGGTCTCCCTACATACTAGAAAAATGATTGACTCATCATTATTATTATTATTATTATTTCGTTGTACGAAGTAAAGGGAGAAATCACGAAAAATTTGGGGTATCATATTTCAATGAAAATATCCATTTTGACTGCTCTCGTATCTATATGGAAGAGTTTTTTGAGTGACATCTGTACGGCACACAGAATAAAGCACTCTTTCTTCCACAATGGATTGTAAAATGAATTTAAAATGGATTCAGAAAGGATTTTTTCGTGACACCTATACGTACATACTGAGGTATGTATGTGTCTCGGTAACTCAAAAATGATTAGCCACAGAACATATATGGGGCTGCTATAACATATAGATTTCGAATTAGAATGCGAAATCTATATGTTTATAGCAGCCCCATATTATATATATATATATATATATATATAATGATTTCAAATGCGTAGATGAAAGCAGTGGACCTCCCAACAGCTTACGATACTGCGTAGATGACCGAGAAGACCGTAGTGGCTTGAAGTTGGCAGAGTGGAAAGCATGATGACGCAATTTAGCACAACATATCTTGAAAAATCACAATCTTTATTTTTTCCATGCGTATCAAATCATCCTTTTTCAGATAAGATACTTCCTAATTATATTTGAATAGAATAACTCCCATTTTGAAGTACGGCGTCATCTTAAGCAAGTAAGCGGCAGCAGAATGCATCTTACCAGCAGGAGAGCTAACGCGGAAAAGGGAAAGGTTATAGCACTTTCGTAGCAAGAAGGCTGAAGTTTCAGTTCACAGTTTTGGTTTAGAATTAATTTGATTGGACGAGAGGCATCTGCATTAAAACGTTACATAAGACAGAAAAGACTGCGAGAAGAGATTAATTTAGGGGCAGATTACCAAATTTAGAATGTTAATTTTGAGATCGTCAATTATTTTTTTGAAACAGCTATCATATTTTGTTATATCTTACATATATATATATACCCGTCTTCTTACCCGACTCAATAATCTCTAATTTGTACTGAATTTTATTAGTTTATAAACTGGGCATTTTTTGCTTTAAAGGTGATTGAATTGCGTTGTTCTTACATTCCGGTTAAGATTTTCATGACTTTAGCTAACCTGCATGTTATGTCCAGTGAACCCGAAGTTTGCTTTAAATTGGTCCTAAAAAATCTGTCTTTTCTCCCATTGGCCGAATTAAATGTTTTGGTGTAGAAAATCTAGTTTTAATTGCAAATTTTCTTTTGTCTGTTTTAACTATATTCGGTGTTTTTTTTTTTTTTTTATTTTATTTTATTTTAAAATTATTAATGAAGATATGTTGGAGTTAGAACTGAATTGATAGACTGAGAAACATATCTCTAATGAAAGTGGAGAAAATAAGTTTAAATGAAGTGCAGAAAAAAATGGTCTGTAATTTAATAGGCCTTACAAGGAAGTCATATGGTATCCACATATAATTTTTATAATTAAAATGGTCAAGAAATTCCAAAAGACCCAAGTACTCTTTCTATCGGGTGATCAGTCACTTGCCTTAAATCCCATTTGGTGGAAATTTTATGAAAATTGTAGACCGATCGTAGATAATCTTTCGACAATTCCGCGGATATTTTTCCACCATTCTGTAAAATAAGAATGCTGTTCTTAAAAACCATGAAGCCCCTTCACCTGAAGTGACCTCATGTTCGCATGCTAATTGCTATGTCATTTTTACTATTAAATTAGGGAAAATGAAAATAACAGAATCATTACATGATACGTATCTTACATCCCAGGAGATCAAAATATTCTTCAGGCTTCTTTATAAACCGTAATAAACTGTAATTATTCTTCTAGCCATTCTTTGTGGTTAATTTTACAGCTTGAAATTCAAGAAGAGAAAATTACATTACATATGCAAGATTCAAGGGTATTGAAATGAAGATATTCTGCGATTAAAAAGAATGTAACAGCAGAAATACTAATATTATTATTGGTTTTATTACTACTTTATGGATTATTGTTATTGTTATTAAGTATTATTCTACACTACATATAATTTAATGTTGCACGATCAATCTTCGGATATTTCTCGATATCGGATTCCCTGAAATAGTCTTTTCTTATTGTTCATTTTATTTAATGAATTTTTCCCCCATTCTCCAATATTTAATCAGATTTAAATCAACTCCAAATTGCCTTCTTCTAGTTTGAATATATGTACTATTTCATAGATTTTTATCGCTTCCTATTTAAATTTGCATTATGATTGTAGTTACAAGCACATTCTATAGTATTAAAACGTTCGAAACTGCAGTTAGTCATTTAAACTGAAATGACTTTGGTAAAATCTGCGCAATTAACTTCAAAATCTGCGCAAATTAACTTGAACTTTTCACTTCAGAACTGCTGAAAATTTTCGGCTGTGAAAATAAGATGATTATCAAGATACCTGTAAAATGTATCATTGGTATTCAGAGTTCACATTAATAGTGCATTCTATAGCTAGCGTTAATGCTCTTTTTGAAATTAATGTCTAAGTTTTTTGTAATTAATGCTCTTTTTGTAATTAGTATACTTTACGAAATTATTGAGAGCAGTTGTAGTGATATCAGTAGCAGTTGTTTTATAGGAATTGGAAATTGTTTTCATTTTTTTACCAAGTGTTATACTGATAATTACGAAATAACCCATGTCAAGTTCTGATTCATTTGAAAGTGACTATGTTATGAGAAGTGATAATGAAGAGTATAGTAATGACCTTGAAAGTGATAGTGGAAGTGACATCATCATTCGTTCTAAGAGATTACGAGTTATTAGTGATAGCAACGATGATGATGAAGTAACTGCAACTACCTCCGATGACGATATTATTCATGAGTTTTTACCCGTGGATACAATTTTTTCGAACGAATCGAATACTTTTTCTGAAGTACCTGGACCAAAGCAAGCCCCTCCTCCCGATGCGAAACCAATTGAATATTTCAATATTTTTTTTCCATTTTCAATAACTTTTTTAAAGTATACTAACCAACAGCAGCGTCTTCGCATTCTCGATACAAAAGAAGAGAAGCGCTATCGCGCTGCGCCGTATTTTCGGCATAAGACAAGTGAAGCGCGATAGCGCTTCGCCGGACTCAAACTGTTAAGCTTCATGTCCAGAATTTTTTATTACCTGCTGTTTAGTGTAACATTGAAGTTTCTTGGTGCATAGAGAAGACTAGGAATAGTTGTTCTGTTTTTCGCCTTTTTAAGATTATATTCTCTGTCGCATATTGGTAAGCCATCTTTACTGATGATTCAAAATTTGATATAAATGGTGCTGTAAGAGCCGGAATTTTCTGTGAGCATTTCTCATGCTATCTTTCTCTGGGAACTGACAAGACGATGAGAGGATTAGAGTTCGATGGAGAGGTTGAGGCGATTAAAGTTACTGTGACCCATTTGAATGCTCGCCCTTCCCTTTCTGAACAGTTTTTCATATTCTCAGACTTTCAAGCAGCAATACTGGCAATTGCTAACAGTTGCCAAGCTCCTGCTTCTACATCTGTTACGAAATGTAGATCCTTGCTATGTGAATTACATGAAAAACATAAAATGATCATTTTGCAGTTGATTCTTTATCATTGTGGCATCCCCGTAAATAAAAGAGCAGATGAGCTGGCCAAAAGAGCATGCAGTATTATTCAAGTTTCAGACGGCCAGGATGGTTATAAGCATGTATCGTCAAAAATCAATATGTCCTTCAAGACCAGGCAACTGCCACAACTAAAAGAAAGAACAAGAGATAAGCTATGAGACAGTAAGATCCATAATCTCTCAGACTGCTCCAGAAGCTGGGCTTAGTTACCTTTCGTCTAGCTACAATCCATGACTGCTTATATGCACACCTTCACGTATTCCAAATAGGTGACAGTCCTGTCTGCCCTCTTTGCTGCAATGGTGCAATGATGAACGCTTGCACCTCCTTGTCTGCTCAGCGCTCTCTCAGAACAGTATTTTTTTCCGAATACTGAGTGGCTAGAGACCTTTTAAACAGATTGCAGATTTGATCTTGTTTTAACCTTTATATATAACTTTTATCCATTACATTTTTCTTTTTTTGTGTGAGTCTTTGCGCCATAGACTTATCTGTGTAAATTATTCTATTGTACTTATAATCTATTGTATTATTATTGTATTTTTTATAGTTTCTGGATCTCTACATGGCATAAGGATACTTTTCACCGTAATGACAGCTACATTAGAAATTAAAAAAAGCTTAACAGCATCCTGTAGTCAAATAAAAGCGCACTGCTCCGTGTTTTTTAGATATTTGGATCTGACTGGTCATTGAGACTGCTGCTGATTTGAATATCCCAACTGTGTGTTTTAAGAATAAATCCATTTCGTACAATAAGTAAAAAAGTTAATTTTTGTTAAAAATTACATTATTATAGCAAAAGCGTGTATTTTAAAATAATACGCAATTAAATTTCTTGTGTTGCAATTACTAAAGAATTTTTTTCATTAATGTTCTTTCTTTAAAGAAAGGGAAACTTAACAGATTTAAGAGATCATTTCTCATGCTAAAACAAAAAAGTTCTGTGTTGCCAGATTTTACAGAAAACTGAAACATTAAACGTTCTAGTAGAATTCCATGTTCTAATAATTGACTTTCGTGTATTTTTTCCCTGGTAACATGTCTCTATTTGTGCTTTTATCTATCGCTTCGAACGATATCCTATACAGCTTTTCGATGTTAGACTGATAATTCACATCCGTTTTAAAGTTTTTTCAACACCGTGTTTTCCTAATTTACCTCATATGTAGATCCACGATACGGCAGTATCATTTAAGATCTCTAATTATCACAATTATTTCTAATTATACAGATAACGTGGCAGTAATGTAATTTTCATTTTTTAATCTATATGTATTAATTAATAATAAATTTAGAAAAGAAAAAAGTATACATGCGAATTCTCAGTATAGTAAATCACAAAAATTTTAATAATATAATTCTGAGTATAATTTATCAGGTACATTTTTTTTATATCTGAATTGTTGCAATAGACAACAATTTCAAATTAGCAGTTAAATAAATAAAATAAATTTGAAAGTAAAATATACATTGAAATATAAATAAAATGAAATATGTAGTATACTGCATATATAGATACATAAAATATAGAGTATTCATGTACATTGCTATTGATTTATTTATAAACCAACATAAACAAATAAAATTTGGAAGACTTAAATATTGGTACTGACTTCGTACCTTTTAGAATTTTTAATTAAGTTGTATTTCTCCTTGCTTAGTTTTGATAAGATTATTCTGAGTATAATTTAGCAGGTAAATTAATTTTATTTATTTTTGCGAATTTTAAATTGATATAAATTGCAGCTGCTGTTAAGAAAAGAACTATATGAACATATAAAAATCAAACTAAGCCCAGAATTATTTTTAAAACCTTAATTTTAATTTGTAGACAAAATTTTGTCATGTGATGGACATGTTAATGATACACTTCCGTGAAACTTCGATAAATGTAACTTTAGTTTTCAAATATTTATTTCTTTGTTTAATGTAATAGGGAGACCGGAAAGTAAAGTCGTTTCTGCGCATGTCGATGAACAACATGTTAAGGGCAGACGTGGAAGCAAATCCATGTCAAACACTCTTAACCAATCTTGGTCGACCATCCAATAACATTTAAAGCAGAATGGAAAACTAAGCAAAGCAGGGTGTTTGAGTCCCCCATAATCTTTTGGAAAAGAACAAAGCCAACCTATCCATCACATGCAACGTATTGCTTCAACGGCACCATACAGAACCGTTTTTTGATCGTTTGATTAGTGGAGATAAAAACATAAGTCCTATATGATAATCCAAAACTCAAAAGGCAGTTTTAATAGGGATTACAAAGGGTTTACATCCCGAAAAGGCGCTTCTGGGTGTTTGATGAAGTATTCGCGGAATTGTTCATTTTTTATTGCTGAAACCTGGACAAACTGTTAATGCAGACCTTTATTGTGAACAATTTGATGGAGTGAACCAATCTTTAATCGAAAAATATCAATTGTCAACAGAAGTCGTCATTCTACAACACGACAATGCAAGACCGCAGTGTGCAAGACGAATACTGGAAAAAATTAATGAATTGGGGGAGGTACTGCCATACTCACCCACCATACTCGGCCGATATCGCAGCATTGGATTTCCATTTATCCGGATCCCTACATTTTCTTAGTGGCAAAAATTTTGAAAATTTGGATGATGTCCAAAATGTCTTCTCGAGATATTTTACTCAAAAACCAATTGTTTTTTTATCGGTCTGGGATTGAAAATCTGCACATTAGATGGCAAAAGGCTGTTGATAACGAGAGTGATTATATTATTGATTAAAAATAAAAACGTGTTAAAAATGTATTCGTTTGATTTTAATGTAAGAAAGCGACATTATTTTCCGGTGTCCCTATTAGTTCTGAAATAGTATAGTTTTATTAGTGTTAATACACGATAGTTATTATATTTTAGTTTGAACTCCAGTGTTAAAATTAAATTTTTTGTATCAACTATGTTCCTATTAAATCACAGAAATTTTAAAGTTTTTCACGAAAAAATTGCTGCAGATTTTAGGCTTGAAAAAAACTGATAGCCTCAGAGCCACAAGTTATTGCATTTTGTTTTTGCCAAACGATATCTTATAACAAGAACAATTTATTTTCTTTTTAGACGTATTTGCTCATTTAATGGTTGATATTTGAGAACTTCAAAATATTTTAAGATAAGAGGTAGGCCTGCATTTCTGAGTTTTATATTTATATTCTTTGGAAACAAGCTGCCAAAATTTGATATCATTTTATTTCGTTTCCTGCTTCTATTCTGCTACTGATTTATTTTTTTTTTATAGCGGAATACAAAACCTTCCAAAAAATTCCTATAAAAACATTTCCATGATTTCACGTATCGGTAAAATGCGGAGGCTAAGTACCATAGTGCAAGCAAAAATTTAGTTTACATGCTAAAGCAAAATGTAATGAAATACAGTAGAATATAAATGATAAAAGAATAAGGAAGAAAACTACCGAATTAATTAAAGGTAACTGTAATCAGCAACTGTAACAGTTTAAGGTAACTCTAAACAGTTTAAGGTAATTAAAGGTAACTGTAATTAAAGGTTTGTAATCACAAACAAATTTACAAAAGCGAAAGATCTCTTTCGTCATTCAAAATTCAGAATTTACGGTCGAACGAAAATAGATGTTCTAAAAATGACTTAAAAAATCGCTCTGATATTTATTTTTATTTATTTTGAAATAAAGATAGTTAACAGAATTGAAAACTGACAGTTCTGTGTATTCTGGAGTTGTATATGTTAAGAATTTAAATCCATTTTTTCGAAGTGAAATAAATTCACTTAAAAAAATCACTAACACTTAGGTGTTTTATGAAATAATTAGAAAATAATGATGATAATGAGAAATATAATAATAAGAAAATAATAACTTGAACTAATGCTTAGTAATTTGAAAATAATGATCTTTCTTCATTTCAAAACTGTATAAAAACATCATTATTTTCTTATCATCTAAATCTTATATTTATTTTAGCAACATAAAATTATGCAACAGAGAATTCAGTTATTCAATAAAAAGTTGGGTTATTCGAATATGACAAAGCAACGAGGGCTATCTTCTTAATAGGAGGGATGGCTTCCTGGAGGACTTTCTAAGGGAAACTGGCTCGATTTTAAGTTACGTAATAGGAAAACCACGAAACCCAACCATGCAGCCATCCTGCTCACCTGGGATTGAACCCAAAGCAGGTCGAACTACCAGTATTTAGCGGTTTTAACCACTCGACCACTGGTGCGGATCTCCAGTAAAAAGAACATTACTTCGACTACGTACAGTCGTATTCATTGGATTTCTTATCAACAAGACATTTGAACGTAATATTTATAGCAATAACACTTCTTTTTTAATAAATCATATATTTTATATTTCGCGTATAAAAAATAAATAACATAAAATTAAAAAAATCATATTCGCAAAAAAAAATAATTAAAAATGAAAATGTATAAAAATAAATAAGAAGAAAAATTTTTTGAAAAAAAGCAAGAAAAAAATTGAAATGATTCAGATGTTAACGTCACACCAGAGGGTTTGTTAAGGTTTTTACGCTCTCGCTCTGCTCGCAGTCTACCAGTCTGGTCTTCGATTCACTCCTACTAATACAATTTTTTTTAAGGGGAGGGAGGAATACTTTCTCCGAACTTACGCAGGGTAAAATTTAGCATGAAATCACAAAAAGTTTAAAAGCACCTTATGTTTACAATTCCTGATGCAGTTTTATGTTTTAGTATACCATTTATACATATTTATTTCAGCGTATTCTTAGTTCTTCATGTAATATACAGGTTTCTTAGTAAAATAACTTTCCCGTATTATTTTTGCATTTTTATTACTATTTCTTAGTATTTTATTTATTCAATAACACGTTCTTCGCCCTTTCGCCATATAAAATTCAACAGCAGAATCACAAAACATTTAAAAACAACATATCTTTAGAATTACGATAGAGTGTTGGATATTGCTTTTTTTATTTGTTATTTTCAAAACCTCGACGCTTTAGCAGCGAAACACCTAAAATAGCTATTGAGGGGCGGTATATAAAATAATTTAAACTGTGGTAAAATTTTGCATGAACTATAACTTATGGAGCCTAAGAACACAAAATTGAGACTTTAAAAAAATCTAGAGCGAAATACTGAATTTTGAGAGCCGGTATATACTTTATACCGGCGCCC